AAAGAAAAAAAAAAATTATATAATTAAACGGACCTGCAAATATTAGGCGCACTTTTCTGGTGTATCTCGGGAAAGAACAGAAGAGTACTTAAAAATAAAAACTCAAGCAACTAACGTCTTGTGCCAAAGACCTGGCTTGAGAAAGAAGTAAGAGAAGCAACCGGTCATTGGTCAAATAAACTATGCTGCCTGAATCTCTCAACTTCAGTTTGTCTACAATACTACTACGACATACAATAATTCTTTTGGCTATATTGTCAAATTTGAGCGAATATCGGTATCGAATCACGAGAGTATCGTTGATAATATGTTCATCTTTCAGAAGGCTATAGATCAAAAGATTGAGAACAATAAGTTCGCCGTTCGAGGGTATGCCCAAAACATTTTGGACGCACATACGCATACATACAAATGCACACGCATCCACAAACACACAAATGCACATATGGACTGTGAGATTTTGGGGAAGCCATCAGAGTGGCCCTTTAAAAAGGTCCAAACCACTCGCTATCAGAGCCACACACTTTCTGTGATCTCGATATATTGAATTACCGATTACCAATATCAATACTATCCAATGATTTTATTCGTCTTCGCGTTTTTCTAGACTTTAGACCAACATTTATCATGGTGACCCAGAGAGGAATGATATTGTAAATACCCATTCCTTATGTCATCCGATTACAACTCACTGATTGTTTGAGCAATGGCTATGTCTGCACAGCCGCTGCTCTCTTAAAACTTTGGGCTCAATGTGAGAAATGCAAATCCCTTAAACAAAATGAATCCTTTCTTTCTTTTTCTGGTTAGGCATTGTTCGTTCACTGCAGGACGTAGCCCTCCAACAATGACCCCCACCCTGTTTTATCAGTCAATACAATACAGAAAAATGTCGCAGTTTTGAATACATGTACCAGTTTTAATTTTCATCAGAAATGAACACACTTCATTCAGTTTGTCAATTGATTCGCTTGAAAAATAATTTTTCTGAAACATACTTTTTCTGGAAAAAGTGCGCAGTAATTTTTGTCAGAAATAATATAAACGCTTGATGTTAATGGTTATCAAATTGTATCAATACCGTTAAAAATGCGTGGTTCTGATAGTGCATGCTTTACACACACACACACACACACACACACACACACACACACACACACACACACACACACAAACACACACACACATACACACACATACACACATACACACACAGACACACACAGACACACACACATGAATAATATATGTATATCTATTACAAAAAAACTATAAGGTTTTCGGAGGTCTGTCAAAGCTACAGAAGTTACTTGGCTTACAACACAGAAAGTATGGAAATTTACACAAGTTGTCCATAATAGCACCAAGTAGTGCCTTTTAATACTTTGTAGTCCAACAATTAATGTATTTTTTTAAAAAAGGAGGGGGAAATGGTACAAATGGAACAGCCGCGAGCACAATGTCTCGCAAAGTCTCGAAGTCGTTCGCAGGATAGACAAAAAATGCGTGTGTACAGCAAAACCCCCCACACAAAACACCAACAACACAATAATGCAATTAATAAACTTAAACAAACGGTATTAATACTAAATATTATAACCAGTAGTATGTTTAAACGTTTAGAGAGGAAAAATAAATCTAACGGCTGTGTTTTCACGTGTAGGGAGAAAAAAGGAACAGCGGATATTCCGAATTCTATTTCCGTTTTAAACCATCTTCTTCGCCTTTCAAATGTGGTTTTGTTAGTTTAAGCAATATTTGTCTTGTGGTTTTCTCTTCGTAAACCGCGTCAAGTTATCGGCAATCTTCCCGGGAGCTGGCATTTCCGGGGCTATATATTTTTTTTTCAACCTGTCCCCCGCCTCCCCCTTCCCCCTCCCACCACTGCTTTTCGTTTTAAAGATGGTTTGGCAGTACAAACAGTTAAGTCACACGATCTGAAGATGAGACACTAGTTTATTTTGATGCCTAAAACACAATAGAGCCAACCCAGCGCATGGAATAAAGGACAGGAAGATGTCAACTCTTAAAGATAACTACATGTATTACGAAATCAAAATAAAGTACGTCAAAAGTAGCATTTTCGATCATACCAACTTGATATGGCGAAATTGGAACACGCGACCCAAAAAAAAAGAACACTCGACCCAACGGTATTTGATAATTTCAAGCTATTGTTATAACTTTTTGCTCTCACCCCCCCCCCCCTCTGTTAAATGCAGGGTCGAAATTTCCGGCTTATCCAAGATTCAAACCTTTGTACTTTTGATAAGAAAGATCACGCATTTTAGCAGCGAAATAAATGGTGATTCCGAATTAACGTAATTAGATTAGAGGCATACGGCCTGAGCTTTTTTCAATTTCGCCATATCATTATAATGCTTGCTGCAATTTCGTCGCACGCCTCTGAACCGAATGCAAAAATTTAGAATGTAGCTACTTTTGACGTGTAAGGGCTGTAGACAAAAAAGTCCAAATTAATCCTTTTCATTATTAAAGAGATTGGTCGAATTCCCTGATTCTGAAAGACACAAACCAAATGACTGCCAACCCCGATCGCCTTACTCCACAAAGGCCTGTCCCATTCTGAAATGTCTCAAATTAATGTCACATTAAGTTTTAAGTTGACTTGTTACTTATGCTCCTTACGCTATAGTGACAATCTATTAACTGCTATTTCTGTACAAAAACGTTTGGTTTCACCATTATTTTGGCCATTAAGCTAAGGTTATGAGCTTTTGCTAAGATTACATGCCCAAAGTATAAGGAAATTAGAACACACACCTGGCGAAACTGAGACACATACCCAAGGCTTTAGGAAGCACGTTGTAAACTTGATATCTAGCAAGTAAATTCCCTTTAAACTCATTAAATGATATAACTTTAACTTATTCAAACTAGGGTTCAATCTTTTAGGAGTCTTTGTTGACACACCTCACAATTAATCACCGTTATACAGAAGACTATGAGAGCTTTCTCGTCATGAAACTGTGTAAATGTTCCAAGGCTTAGTAAACAGTAAAATGCCTAGACCTGACTTGATAAACAAGATGCTGTGTCTCGTTGACTGAATGTGACCAGTTATTTGCTGTGCTAACATTTTGGATGGATTTTTCAACGTGGTTTTTAGCCATTTGATTGGGCAGAATGTTGGGTTACTTTAAATAGGGGATGAGAAAGGGTCTCCAGGAGAGTGTTTCGACGAAATTAGAACACCATATATTGACTAAAAAACAAGCAACAGACTTGCGGCTTATAACGAGACTACTGAAAGTTTCATGGAAGGTAAAACAACAAATCCAATGAGGAGGCGCCAAAAGAAGCGCGAGTGGGCTACTCACTAATAAAAACAATGACGAAAATAATCAATTTATGCAACTCTAAGACATTTGATTTGACATAAAAAAACAATCCTGAACACTTTGATCTCACTGGAAAAAATAGACGGCAAACGAGGCAGAGGTAGACAAAGAGCAACTTTCTTCGTGAACTTAAACAGGTGAGTAACGGGAAAGACCAGGCATGACAACAGTTTAAAAAAAATAGATATCCGAACAAAGAAATGATTGGCAAACCACGATCGTCCATGTCTGTTTCAGATGTGGCAAGGGGGCTCTCGTGGTCTAGAGGTTAAGGTGTTTGCCTCTCATTCAATTGGTCCCTGTTCGAAACCTGACAGCGACGGAAAATTTTCTTCTCTAAAATGTTCTCCTTTCACCTCCTTTCCAGCACTCTTACCATGATCTGTCGTTTGCTCTCGTCTCCAACTTTTACCCCCACCCCCTCCTCCCTTTGCCCACTCCTCTGGGCTCCTTTCTCTTTCTGCAGCTTTTCTACTGCTACTCCTTGGCTCCTTCTTACTGCTGTCTTTCAGCCACACACCTGATCATATGGTTGGTAAGAGCTAACACCTAGCCTTCTCTGAAAAGGGCAAAAAATCTCCGCGGTCCTGAGAGCAAGTTGTGCACGTTTAAGATCCCTTTGTGGTTCAAAATCGATACGAGTAGACTTCGGCCGCACCCGGGCAAAACTTAAAAAATCCTATCAACTGAAAATTGTTAATGTTTCCCAAGCGCTCATTTGACCTTCTGCAGTTGCGAGCGCCATAAAACACTTATTACAATTAAAAAAAAAAACAACAAAAAAAACGCACCGAAAATAAAATAATGAATAATCCTATGCGTTCTGCATTTCGCAATTTCTCGTACTTGACACGTCAACTCCATGAGACACCCGCCTCCTCTCCCTTCCAGCCCCATCCTCACTCCTCTTTTGGCCTACTTTAATTCCTCAACAACTGGGTACAAGCAGGCAATAATTGATTTCATGCATTGTTGTTGTTGGTCGAACCGATAACAAACCTATATTATCAGTTTTCGCTTAATAGAAATGGGTCAAACTAGAAGCAAAGATGTCTGTATAAAAAGAAGCGTTCGTTGGAGCAGTTCAGGCAATACCAGACAGGGAAGCGAGGACGTCAACAACAACTGCTTGATTCACCTGGTAGGTCTGTGTGTTGTGTGAGTGAGCGATGATGTGTTCTACCCTTTGTGACCTCTAGTGCACGTGGTGCAGCGGTCATTTCTTTTAATCGTTGCGCGGAAGACATGAGTATTTGCGCCCGTCTACTGGGATGTTGTATCCCACTCAGCCAGCGCTGGACCTGACAGGCAGGGACAGACTATATATATATATATATTATTTTTATATATATATATATATATATATATATATATATATATATATATATATATATATATATATATATATATATATATATATATATATATATAAATATATATGTGAGGCAGCGTGCTGGAATCAGGCTCTCGGCAATTTTTGGCCATGCAGAGTTATTGGTATCATCTTAAAGCTTGTTCACTTGTCTTTATTTGGATGACTTTATTTGGATGACTTTATTTGGATGAAAAAAATATCCTTTTATCCTAAACACTAGTCGAGATATTTGAGAATGAAGGAGGTGGGGATCACCTGTTTTCAGAGGTAAAATTAGAGAGAAAATTGCCGCCAAAGATTAGTTATTTCTATAGCCTAAGTGTCCTTGGTAACTGAGACTTTTTATTTTTTGTGCCTTTAATCCACGTGTTTCAGAAAAATTCACTCAGAAATGAGTTCTTTAATGGGCATGAAAGGTGTTGAGCCCCAAAACAAAAATTTGATAAAAATTAACAAACCTGCGGAAAAATGCAAGTTTTTTTCACTTTGATTATTTTGATGAGAGCCTGATTTCACCACGCTGCCTCATATATATATATATATATATATATATATATATATATATATATATATATATATATATATATATATATGTGTGTTGTTGTTGTTGTTATGTATCCAGCAACATCTGGGCTCTCGCCCTTCTGTCCAATGCCATGTAGTGATAAGTGCAGGTTTGCTGCAGTTGCTGTAATGTTCCATAGAGTGTGTTGTTGAAGTTAGGTCTCGGAGGGAGAAGGGTAGCTCTGGTGTCATTTAGGGCTGTACAGTGGAAAAGGTGATGTTCCACTGTCTCATATGCATAGTCACACAAAGGACACATTGGGGGAAGTTCTGGTTTTGTTCTGTTCAAGTGAAAGTTGAGCTGTATATGTTCTGTTCGTAGGCGGAAGATCGTGGTCTGTTTCTTTCTCTGTAGGTGGTTGATATTGTCATTTCGTTTTGTTGTAGTCATATGTTTGAAAACTGCTCTGCCTGTCTTTCCCAAGGCCCATCATTTCATCCAATCTTGTTTGCTGTTGCTTTTAATGATTTGGTTTGCAGTGTGGTATGAAGTTGGAATGTTGGGTTGTTCCTGTCTAGATCTCCTTTTGGCGAGTGTGTCTGCTCTGTCATTTCCAGGTATGTTTGAGTGTCCAGGAATCCACTGCATCATCAGGTTGACGCCACAGAATGTTTTCAAATGATGGGAGCCAAACAGTATATGTGTCAAGTCTTCGTTTAGATGGTGATCATTTTCTATTGCTTGCAAGACTGATAGTGAGTCACTGAAGATCACTATACTCTGGCTTTTGTTTGGATGAGTGTCAAAAACTGTGCGGAGATGGTATAGAGCTGTTTCAATTGCTATCATTTCTGCGTCGTAGTTGTTGCATTTCTCTCCACAGGCTGCAGAGATCTCATTGGAACTTCCATCTGGGTACTGTATTAGTATTCCATATCCGGCTTTGGTTGTGCCTTTGAATGCTGAGCCGTCTGTATAGACGTGTATCCAGTCATCTGAATAGCTGTCGATTGTTTGGTGTGAAGAAAGCATCAACTTCACTGGGTCTAAAGATTTTGTGCTATTGTCTCTGAGAGAAGTTTTAATGATTGGTTTTTCCATAGAAATGTGGGGAGGGATGTTTTGGTTGACTCTTTTGGTTTCTCTTCTGTTTTGTGGTAGGTGGTGGCTCCTCATTAGTTCTGTGATGCGATGCATGACTGATTTTTGTTGAAGTCGTTTCTTTGGTTTCCATGTTTCTACTAATTTCCTGTTTGGGTGGTTGGGGCACATTCTTTTGGTTCTTTCATGAAGCTCCAAAACTGCTTTATCTCTGCGTATTCCCAGGGGTTCAACATTTGACAGAATTTCACATGCGGCAGTAGGTGTAGATCTCATGCCACCATTAATGAAACGAAGGGCATTATTTTGGACCTTGTCAAGGGTATTGCAAGTAGTTGCACTACACATAGTGAGTAGGCTATTGCTGTATTCCAGGGAAGATCGGACATAACCAAGGTATAGAGCTCTCAAAGTTTTTTTGTCTGATCCCCATGAACTGCTCGCAAGTTTCTTTAAAAGTTGGAGTCTTCTTTTCGCCTTGTTCTTTATGCTCTCCACTTGGCTTTTCATTGTTAGACTTTGGTCAAGTTTGACTCCTAGATACGTTGGTTGTTCTTCTTTGAGGAGATTTTCATTTCCTATCATCAGTTGGAGTTTTTCTTTGGCTGTTTTATGGCTCTTTGTAAAGATGGTGTATACTGTTTTCGAGCAGTTTATTTTGAGCTTCAATTTCTGACAGTAATATATATACATTAATGTAACCACCCAAGCATGGGGTTAAAGCCTTGCTGTACCCACTCATGAAGCAAACCAATTTAAAGCTAAATAAATTCTACTTCTGACACCTTAATATTTCATCTATGTTAAGAGGCACAAGATATATGGTCACTCAAAATTGACCTTAAAAAATCAGGCTTAGCAAAATCGTGCGAAATCAAAGAAACGTAAAATTATCTTCGTGAATGTATTGAAGAGAAAAAATATTGATAGAATGGACATACATTGCAGATCCAATGAATGGAGAATTCTGTCCCTGCAATAAAGAATAGTTTATTATGATACTTTCAAACAAAACGTAATGAAGAGGAATCATTAATACCACACAAAACTAAGACTTAAATTAATGTACACATTGGTTTTATGTTGTGCACGAACCCTTTGGGCATCGACTCTTTTAAATTTTGTACGTTATTATCTCTCAGTTCATCCCAAATGTCACAGAGAGTTGCAAACAAAGGGTCTGAATTGGGAGCAAAGTCGCTTTTCTTCAGCTGCTGTTTCATGGGACTCCATTTACCTGTAGGATTCATATCGGGGCTATTTACTGGTAACCACTCCAACGTTGATAATATGGTCTGTTTTTCCCAGAATTGTCTATTGAAATTGATCCTGTGGGAAAATGCTTTGCTATGAGTGGAGATGTCTACCCCAATGACACCAAGACGAAAATAAGGGTGAGACATGACGTTCCTGCACTTGCACGATGTAGTCCGCTAAACCAAGCACCCGGTGATTCTCGCGACTGCGGTTTTGTTCATCGACCCTGGATCCCCCCCCCCCCTGTGGCCTCTGCTGCTCCCTAATAATCCAGAAGCCATAGGGAGGAATTCAAACTCGCTAGTTCTGCTTTAATATCCTGTGTACATTGGCTTAATGCCCCCCCTAAAAAAAAAAGATTGTCATTGTCATTGTCCTTGTCATTGAATGTCAGTTTTGTGGCCTTTGTTCCGCAATAGATGATTAGATTCAAAGTCTAACTAACATAGTCCATGTGCAAGAAAAGTTTCGCAGAATTTATTTAGCTTTAAAATGGTATGCTGCATGAGTGGGTAGTACAGGACTTTTAACACGATGATTGGGTGATTACGTTTACCTCCAGCCAGCTGTGCCCCGTATGGCGGGGATCTGCCTCCTGATTTCCTTCTCATGTGGATCTCCGCCTTCCCTCTCTTCCTCCTTCTCTGGGGATTCTATCCTCGGCTTTGTCTTGTCACATGGTGGACTGGCTTCTTACACGTTAGACAAACTCACCGCTATCTTCTTTTCTTGATCTCCCTGTAAATTGGCTGTTGTTTGGTTCTCCTCCGTATTTCTAAATACACCGTGGTGTCGGGCCTATGGGCTTTCATGATCTTTCCCAGGCAACCACTGATGGAGGAGTGCAGTTTGTTTACTATCTGCTTGGTTCGTTTCCAAGTTTCCGATCCACACAACAATACTCCTTTTTTTACACGTGTCTGTCTACACATAAATATACAATATATTGAAAAATATGTTTTATATATTATGAAAATTTGAATAATATAGATGTACCAGCTATCTATGCTAGGGGGCTGTTTTAATATATTATTTCTCCTATGTCATCAAATTAATATTTCCTCTATGTTTGTATGTATTATTTATCCTGTACCTCTGAGTGCTTTGATGTTGAACCTCACTCAGCCTGCTTTGGCCCTGACAGGCAGAGTCGCATGGCGCTTGATGTTGAGAGGGAATGTGCGTTATCCAAACGCTAGTTAGCATTATAACCTATGTCTTTTTTACCTGGAATTTGTAGCGTTGGAACATGTGTAATCTCTTACACGTAAACAGTCTCGAAAAAAAACACGTTATGCACTTTTCAATGTGCAGTCCTTACATTTGACCTACATTTTTCGGCAAAACAAGGCATGTCCGTGTTGTCTTCTTTAATTAATGAACAATAAAAATAATGATAAAAACAAGAAGAAAAGGAGGAAGAAGAAGAAGAAGAACAAGAAGAACAATAATAATAATAATAATAATAATAATAATAATAATAATAATAGGTATCATTTGTAAATATTGTATAGCGCAAATTCCTGTTCAATGCGTTTACCATCTATATTATTGCCCCATCAGACCTGCTAGCATTCTAAAACAATCACAACACCTGGGAAGCATACAGTGCAAGATGCTATTTTTATAGGCACTAAAACACTAGTCTATGGATGGGTCCCATTTCCACCTGGGTGAAGTGAAGAAAATTGTGTAAAGTGCCTCTCCCAAGGACACATGGTCGGGCATGAGGCTCGAACGACGGAACCTGCAACCTCACGATTACAAGTCTGGTAGCATAACCTCTAGACCAGGACGCCACCGGAGTCTGTCATTGATATAATGGTAAGGCATTGCATCGTTGCATGCAAAAGTTTTATTTATTTATTTATTAAAAAATCATATTTGTGACCTCATAAGCAAAGGCGAAAAGATCAAACAAGTAGAGCAATTTGAATATCAAGAATATACAAAGACATGTGATTCTAAATGTTCCGTAGACATAAAACGAAAAACTGCAATGGCTAAAGATAGTTTCAGTAAAATGAGCCCAATTCTGGAAGCCCAATTCTGGAAAATAGAGCAGATTGTTTCAAGCCTGTCTGTCAGGGTTACCGCAGACTGATTTAGGATACAGCACCCCATAAGACAGACGGAGATACTTGATAAAAATTCTCCCTACTCGAGAATCGAACTGGGATCTCGTGCATGAGAAGGCTTAATGTATAGTAGCTACACCACAGACGCCGTTCTAAGTAGGTTTACTAAAGAGAAGAAAAAAAGAGCAAAACAACAACAAAAAACAAAAAAAAAAAACCACCCACACACACACACACACACACACACACACACAGACACACACACACACAGAGACACACATAAAAAACAGCAAAAAATCGTTGTTTTTTCTTAACATCTTGTGTTTCCCTTCCAACAGAACGACGTTCACGGCCGAAAAGTGGAAATCCACACACAGAACCTGCAACGACAAGAGCGTAACGAAGTGTGAAAACACAGTATCGTACCACCGATCAAAGCAATCTTCACCAGAATGGTTTCCTTGAGGGTTCTCGTCTTGAGCTCAGTGCTGAGCCTCAGTCTTGTTCTCGCCACAGTGTCAGGCGCCGGTACCTCGACAAACGCAGATTTTTTCACTACGTTTAACAAGGAGCTCCAACACAAAGTGTCACCAGCATGTTACAAAGGCGTGGTCTCAGTGGAAAATTCGAAACAAGTACCCAACGACCAGGCAAAAGCTTGTGAGCTTATCAAGACACCCGATGGGAAAGCGGTAGTCACGAGTGTGGGTTGTAACGAGAAGGAGTACGGTATCGTCAAGACACTTGCGTGCAGTAGTCCAGCTGCCTTGACCGGAAGTATCATTATGCTAGTCATCCTGACTGTCTTTCACCGCGTGCTTTGAGAGTCTGGATGTTTGATTCTGACCTCGTGATAACTCTGATACAAACATCCAAAGGCTATATTTCAACAAACATTTTTTTCCATATCTGCATCACGTGATAACGCTGGAACAATCAACCGACAACTTTTTCAACAAATACTTTTTCAATATTTTCAACATAAAGCCACTTTTTTCAGTGCGCGATAAATTACTTTTTTCTGCTTTAAGTGTCTCTATCTTGTTTGAATAAGGTACAGAGGCCATGAAATCTCAACACGCTCACATTACAAAAAAACCCCAAACAGAATCAACCGGCCTGCTATTGTTGCCACTCCTCTTTAAAACAAAAATTGAGCAACGAACTTTACATCCAATAAACTGTTGCACAATCAGTGGCGACACTCAAATCACTCTTGTAATTCGAATACAATAGGAGCCTCGTGTACACTTATTGCTTGTTTTAAGTATTTGTTTGTTTGTCCGTCTACTTGTTTGTTCGCCTTCAAGTGAAGGCCGACACTAATGGAGTAATTTTCAGACTCTTTGCCTCAGACTGAAAGACCAAGAGTTAAGTTTAGTTTTAGTAAGGTATTTATGGCGCTCGCAACAGTATAAGGTCATATGAGCGGCAAGGGGTGGATATTAACAGAGAAGTCCAAAAGGGGAATCAGGGTTTCTTTGCTCACCTCTCTAGCCTCAACAGCACAAGGTTGTGCTTCAACTATCAAGGCACCCCGGAAACGGCAATTCACAAGAGAGTGACAAACATACAAAAGAAGTAGATGGAAAATAATGATAGTAAGGATGAGGTAAGTCAAAACAGCAGTTCCTCCTATGTTGTTTCGGCACAGTACAAGCATAACATTGATAAGTCAGCCCATCTACAATTTTACTGTGCATACGAATATGTTAATATCCCCCCCTTTGGGAATGGCCTAAAGACACTTCAATCAGAGTTTGGTTCTCACAAGCGGGAGACGTTTTACGGAGTATCCCAGTCTGTCGGCTCGGCTGTATAATTCACTGCTTGGGTCAGTCGTGGCGGGCAGAGTGGAAGCAACCTGCCTCCTAAACAGTCCCAACTATGCTGATAGGGGAATTCTTATGCTAATATTAAGTTTACAGTCATTATTGAGAACATAATTAAGTACAACAGAACCAGCATCTGTGGTGTGGTGGTTAGACTCTTTTCCGTTGTACGCAGGTGTTGACTTGATGCCTGAATGAGGGAGGTATTTTTAAAACTGAGAAACTCCGTCATGTTGGAGTCTTCGTTTTCGACTAGTGACTATAAAGTTACTTTTGGGCCTGTTGTAATCACTGATCTCTTGCGTCAATTTCGGAATCGATTTTTTTGCGTCGCCTCTTCAGTGCTTTCGCATTAAAGGAAGGGGCAAACAAAAGATATTTTCAACCCAGTTGCAAAACGATATTATAAAACCAAAATATATTATTTATCTTATTCTAAGTTTTACTTCCACGGTAAGCCTTCAGAATCGCAAGTTTAATCTATTTCAAAGGAGCGCGACCATCTTGTTGGGGTGCACTACAAAACCCA